TTAATAAGACAGTTCATTAAAGCGGCTGCCTCCTTTCCCCCCCCGCCCCCATGCTCACAACAAAGGCGACCAAAAAGACGCAGGCAGCTTTCATAAAACAGCTACAGGAGCTGTTAAGATTCATGCATCACCCGAAGCACATTGGAATCGTTTCCACAGCACACACGGCAATTGTAAATACCCGTAAGTAGATTCATAATCGTAGCCTAAGCGGAAATATTTTGGCTCCGTTTATTCATGAGACAGAGAATTGGCAGGAACGATTTGAGGCCAGCAAAGTCTGCTCAGCACTCAAAGCCAAGTAGATCTGTAGATGTTTGTGGTATATAAAAAAAGGAAACAGCCGCCGGAGGCACAGCCATTCTGTCCCGCTGTATCATGTTCATCTGGCAATTATGGCTGCCACAAAGAGAGGATCGACGTGGGTGCAGCCGGCTTAAAAGCCATCCCGGGAAATATCTGCAGGAGGTGGGAGGTAGATTGAAGGGGCCATCCTGTAGGCCTGTGCAAGGAATGATGGAGTTGATATTTTGAGACTTGGAGAGGGGGTTCTTAGAGGTCATCCAGCCTGACCCCCACTCTCTCCTGCTCTGGGTACGATCCACTTGGGAGCATCTGATGGAAGACTGGTGCAACCCGTGAAGGGAAGCGTGCATTTAATAACGTCACATAGCAGGCTGTTCCATAAGCTGGCTGCCCATAGCAATGGGGAAGCCAGACAGAATCTGGCTTCCTCATTACTCGGTAGATCTCAAAAACTGATCACATGATCCCAGGGACGCGGCAACCGTCACATGTGTGAACCAGTTGTTCCAAGAGTTTGAATTTGGATCATGTGTCCCTGGGGAGGCTGCAATGGTCATTAAGCGTGAAAAAGGGACATCAGTCACTTTTTCAGTGCCATTATAATTTTGAACGGTCACTCCATGAAGTGTTGTAAGTCGAGGACTCCCCTGTATAGCAGTGTTCAATTGTGTTTAGGTCAGCCCCATAGGGGAAAAAAAATGGAGTTATTTTTCCACTGGTCCAGAAGGAAAGATCAGAATCAACCTTTAAAGGGGGTGGTTCAAAAACTTCATAACTAATAATTATGGAGTCTTAGTGGACAACTAGAAAAAAGTAAACTCCTACACTTAGGCAAGAAAAACCAAAAGTAAACAATAGACTGGGTGAAACCAGGCTCAATAGTAGGAACTGTGAGAGGGATCTTGGAGTCTTAGTGGACAAGCCGCTAAATAGGAGCCAGCCATGTGCAGCAGCAGCCAAAAAAGCTAACGTAATCCTAAATTGCATTAACAGAGGGATGCAATCATGATCACAGAAGGTACTAATACCACACTATAAAGCCTTAGTAAGGCCACACCTAGAGTCCTGCATCCAGTTTTGGTTACCACATTATAAAAAAGATGTTGAGACTCTAGAAAAAGTGCAGAAAAGAGCAACCAAGAGGATTAGGAGACTGGAGGCTAAAACATATGAAGAATGGTTGCAGGAACTGGGCCTGGCTAGTCTAATGAAGAGAAGGGCCAGAGGAGACATGATATCTGAGAGGCTGCCACAGAGAGGAGGAAGGGGTCAAGCTATTTTCCAAGGCACCTGAAGGCCAGACAAGGAATTATGGTTGGAAACTGACCCAAGAGAGATACGACCTAGAAATAAGAATAAAATTTTTTAACAGTGAGAGCAATCAACCCATGGAACAGAAGTTGCCCTCAGAAGTTGTGGGAACTTCGTCACCGGAGGCTTTCAAAAAAGAGACTGGAGTGCCACCTGTCAGAAATGGTATAGGGTTAGGGGGTTGGACTAGATAACCTACAAGGTCCCTCTTCCAACTCTGTTCTGTTCTGTGTATATGAAGATTGGTTGCAGGAACTGGGCCTGGCTAGTCTAGTGAAGAGAAGGACCAGGGGAGACAGGATAGCATCTTCCAATATTTGAGAAGGGGCTGCCACAGAGAGGAGGAAGGGGTCAAGCTATCTTCCAAGGCACCTGAAGGCCAGACAAGGAATAATGAATGGAAACTGAACAAGGAGAGATTCAACCTGGAAACAAGGAGAAACTTTCTGACAAGGAGAACCATCAACCAATGGAACAGAAGGTACCCTCAGAAGTTGTGGGAGATTCATCACTGGAAGCTTTCAAGAAGAGACTGGATTGAAATGGTGTAGGGTCTCTTGCTTAGGTGTGGGGTTGGACTAGATGACCTACAAGGTCCCTTCCAACTCTGATTACCTGTTATATCTGTTATGTTTATTAAATGCACAGGACATCCATCTTACTCTCAGATTTGGTCTCTATGGGCTATAAAACTGTACTGTCATCCTATGAAACTAGCTGCCACATGATGGCTTAATTGTTACTTCCCTTAGAGGCTGGACCAATCATCTCTCGGATACTTCTAGTGGCTCTTACCTTGAACGGGAAGGGGGGGTCAGTCTGGATGACCTCTGAGATCCTCTTCAAGTCTTTCAAACCAATACAGGTACTCTTTGACTTACAACCATTCTGTTTAACGATACTTCAGTTACCACACTGAAAAAACTGGACTCGACCCATTTTCACACGATGATCATTGCCCAGTACAATTCCCGTGGCCACATAATCCAAATTTGGACGCTTGGCAACTGGCATGTACTTATGACGGTTGCAGATCACATGAACCCCTTTTGCGACCTTTTGACAAGCAAAGTCAACAGAGGAAGCCAGATTCACTGAACAACCAAGTTATCAATTCAACAACGGCATTGGTTCGCTTAACAACCGCAGCAAAAAAGGTTTGTAAAGTGGGACAAGGCTCCCTTTAGCCACTGTCTTGCTCAGCATTGGAAAGGTTGGGCCTCAATTGTGGTCGTAAGTCGAGGATTACCTGCCTATGGGCTGTCAGCCTACGGAACAGCCTGCCAAGTGACGTTATTAAATGCACGCTTCCTTTAAAGGTTGCACCAGGCATCCGTCAGGTGCTCTGAGCGGATCGTACCCTGAGCAGGGTGGGGGGGGAGGGTCAGGCTGGATGACCTCTAAGACCCTCCCTCCGAGTCTTTCAAAACAATAAGACGCTACCTGAGGTCAATTCCATCGTTCCTCGCAAAGCCTGCCATGTGACATTATTAAATGCATGCTTCCCTTAAAGGTCGCACCGAGCATCTGTCAGATGCTCCGAGTAGATCGTACCCACAGCAGGGCAGAGCGGGGGGGGGGGTCAGGCTGGATGACCTCTAAGATGCCCTTCCAAATCTTTCAAAGCCATATGACGCTACCTGACATCAACTCCACCCTTCCTGGCAAAGGAACAGCCTGCCACGTGACGTTATTCAATGCACGCTTCCCTTAAAGGTTGCACCAGGCATCCATCAGGTGCTCTGAGCGGATCGTACCCTGAGCAGGGCAGAATGGGGGGGGGGGTCAGGCTGGATAACCTCTAAGACCCCCCCTCCGAGTCTTTCAAAGCAATATGATGCTACCTGAGGTCAACTCCCATCGTTCCTCGGTGAGGCTTACAGGATGGCCCCTTTCGATCTACCTCCCGCCTCCTGTAGATATTTCGCGGGATGGCTCAAGCCGGCTGCACCCCCGTCAATCCTCTCTTTGTGGCAGCCATAATTGCCAGATGAACATGACGCACGGCTACGCCTCCGGCGGCTGTTTCCTTTTTTACACCACAAAAATCCAAGGCAGACAGTTGGGTCAACTCACGTGGCCTGCCAAAGTCCCATTTGTTCTTCTCAACAATCTGGTTGGCCTAAAACTTTGGTTTTACTTGAGAGAAATTTCAAGGGAGCCCCTAGGATTGTGTTTCGGGGATACAGTCACACATACACACACACACACTCTGCTGCTGTTGATCCTTATTTATTTTGTGGGTGGTTTGTTTTTGTTGTAATAGTTTTCTGGTTTTTTCCACCGGTTTTAATTGTGTGGCGGTTGTAGAATTGTACGCCACCCAGAGTCACTCGGTTGAATTGGGCGGCAATAAAAATAGAATGAAAAAATAAAGAATAAAAAAGGAAAGGAAGATATAAAAGGAAGTGAAGGAAAATAAATAAAATAGAATGAAATGAGAAAGAAATCGAAGGCAAAATGTAAAAGGAATAAAACGAAACAAAGAAAACATAAAATTAAAATAAAATAAATTAAAATAATACATTTAAATAAATAAAATAATAAATTTAATAAATTTAAATACATAAAATAATAAATTTGAATAAATGAAAATAAATAATAAAATAACATAATAAATTTGAATAATAAAATAAAAATAAATTTAAATAATAAAATAAAAATAAATTTAAATAATAAAATAAAAATAAAATAAAATAATAAAATAAAATAAAATAAATATAAAACGAAACAAAAATAAACTCATAACAAAAATAAAATAAAATAAAATAAATAATTAAAGTAAAGTAAAGTAAAGTAAAGTAAAGTAAATACAGAAAGCCCTTAATTGACCTGGTCTAACATTACATATCCAAAAATTTCCAGTTCACAGGGAGTTGCAAATGTTTTCGCAAGGCAAACCTATCATTTGTTTGAAATGTTTCAAATAACTTATAATTTTAGAGACAAACTTACCTGGGAATTACCTGGTCCACTGATTGCAACGGGGTTTACTTATGAGCAGGGATGCCTTTGATTGCACAAGTGAGGAGGCGAATGGAAAAGCTGGATCTACACCTACCTAAATCCGGACCTCAACTCTTGTTTCCTTAGGAGGAGTAATTTTGCACACCCAACCAGCCACTTCTCGCAGCTTGCAGTTGGGACAACACGCAGGTCAAGAAGTACCCCAGACCTTGCAGGGTTTTTTAAAAAACGCATCTTGGCAAATATCTGCACGATCAAGGGGAAACAGGTGGGGGGGGGGGCATTCCCACCACCAGGAACCCAGATGCCCCCATTTCCACGTGCAAACACCCGAGATTAAGTCAAACCTCACCCCGCAAGCATTTTTTGTGGGGGGTTCGTTGCAGCCTTGGAAGGACTTTTAGAAAAATACTCACTGTGCCAAACGGATCTTTCTTTACACCTCTTTCCCCCAGGATCCTCTTCTGGCCAGATTCAAAGGTTGGCGCCTTTTTGTGTGTGTGTGTGTGTGTGTGTGAGTATGCAAAAAAATAAAAGATCAAAACTTGCAATCGGTCCGTTCCAATCTTAATCAATGCAGACTTCCAACTTCTTTAATTTTAAATTTTGCACGGGAAAAGAGCCCGCGTTTTCTATGCAACGGAGCTGCAAAGGAGCAGGGAGCGCGGCAGCCGCGCCAAAAAAAAAGAAAAATCTGATTTTTTCTCTCTCTCTTTTTTTTTTTTTTTACAACTCCCGGCTTTGGAGTTTGGCGGGGAAATTCGCCCGGCGCCGATCGGAGCCTCCTGATTGGTCGGCGGTGGCGGGAATCTGAAAAAAGGGGCGGGGCTTGAGGAGGGGAAGGCCTTCGCCGGCAGGTTCCCCCCTTCCGCGTTTCTGAGGGTCGCGCCTGACTGCGCAGGCGCGAAAGCCTGCTGATTTTATTTTATTTTATTTTCAGAATTGTAATCCTTGGGGATTGGGGTCGAAATCTTTGGATAGTCCTGTTCTCGTTTTGTCTTTCCACTCTGGGGAGGGTGGGGGAAATTCCCCATTTCCTGGCGTGTGTCAACTCGTCGTATGCTCAGAGGCACTCTTGTTCTGGAAAGCTGGAAGCACTGTCATTGCCAAGCCTAACCCTGGGCATCAACTTCTCCTCTGCCTAGACAGAACGTTAAAAAATTAATTAGCAATCTTTTTGTGAAAAATTAACATTAAAGCATGCTTAGGCCACCTTTTCTCAAGTATCTCTTGGACATGAGGTCCCATAATCCACAACAGCCAGTCTGGGGAGTAGAGAATTTGCCTTTTCACAAACCTGGAGGATGCCAGGTTGCAAAAAAAAATAAAAAAATTTTTTATATTGCTGGAAGTATTATAATTCATTTTAAGAACCAGAACTTAATCCACAGAACCACTTGGCTATATTCAGACAATTATGCTCAGCCAGGTCAGATAAAAATTTTGTTTCTGCGTTCATACAATACAGGAAGTCCTTGACTTACAACCACAATTGAGCCCAACATTTATTGCTAAACGAGACAGCTGTTAAGGGAGGTTTTTTGCCCCATTTTACGACCTTTCTTGCCACAGTTAAGCGAATCACCGCAGTTGTGAAGAACATGGTTGTTGAGGAATCAGGCTTCCATACTGACTTTGCTTGGCCGAAGGTTGCAAAAGTTGATTACATCACCCTGGGACACTGCAACCGTCATAAATATGAGTCAGTTCCCAAGCGTCTGAATTTTGATGGGGATCCTGCAAAGGTCATTAAGTGAGAAAAAACGGTCATAAATCTCTTTCTAGCGCCAATGTAACTGGTCACTAAACAAATTGTAAGTCAAGGACTACCTGTATGCTAAACTGAGTTAGTGTTAAAAGGAAACTAGTCACCAACCAGTGGGCCAGAGACCACTGGTGGCCTGTGAGAAAATTTGGCCTTTGTATTTCAACTTCCTGTTCCTGTACAAAAATATGTCCCTTAATATTCCAATAGCTAAGATTCCTAAGGGGGTCATCGCTGGCTTTATAGGCAGAAGGGGAAAATGCAAATCCTAGATGTTTGTCTGAGTTAAATCTTTATAACCTTTGTCTTGCCTAATTGTGTTGCTTATCTGGAGTTTCTGTCTGGCCCAGTCTTTCTGAACTGGGTTTAACTGGATTACCAAATCTGCATTTCTAAAAACTGGCCTCCTCCATTTCTCCTTGGGAGTAGAGAGACTGGTGCTGGTTTCTGCCCCCTTTAAGATTTTCCCCCACATTAGGGGGAGTTTTCAGATAACAGATAATCAGAGTTGGAAGGGACCTTGTAGGTCATCTAGCCCAACCCCCCGCCCTACGTTTTTAATATTCTCCAAAATATTTCATTCTCTAGGAAGGCGGATGAGTGCTGACTTTCTGCACAATCTTTTCTTAAAAACCTCCAGTGGTGGAGCAAACCATTCCAATGATTAACTATTCTCACTGTCAAAAAATTTCTCCTTATTTCTAGGTTGGTTGTCTCACTCTCTTTGATCAGTTTCCATCCATTGTTTCTTGCCCTGCCTTGAAGTGCTTTAGAGAATAGCTTGACTCCTTCTTCTTTGTGGCAGCCCTTTGAATATTGGAAGACTGCTATCATGTCTCCCTTAGTCCTTCTTTTCATTAAACTAGATCCGTGATGGCGAACCTATGGCACGCATGCCACAGGTAGCACGCAGAGCCATTTGTGCCAGCATGCAAGCCGCAGTTAACCTTACCTCGCTGCGCATTTGCATGTCTCACAGCTGATTTTCGGCCTGTTTGCGTCCTTTTTTGGTCCCCCAGAGGCTTGAGGAAAGCCTTTGCAGGCCGAAAAATAGGCCCGTTTCATCACTTCCTGTATTTACGGAAATACCAGAAGTGGTGAAATGGGCCCATTTTTCAGCCTGCAAAGGCTGCAGAAGCTTTCCTCAAGCCTCTGGTAAACCAAAAAAGGCCTCAAACAGGCCGAAAATCAGCTGTGAGACACGCGGCCGAAAATCAATTGGCAGGTGTAGTGCAGGTAAGGGGGCATGGGATTACGCGCACATTGCCTTCTGGGTTCTGGTATGCGAGCGCAAGCACGCACACCATTTTTTGCACAGGAGCCCAAAAAGGTTAGCCTCCACCGAATTAGACATACCCAGTTCCTGCAATCATTCTTCATATGTTTTAGCCTCCAGTCCCCTAATCGGGGGTGTGATTCAGCTGGTTTGCACTGATTCAGGTGAACCAGTTGTTCCCGGAATAAGCTGGCCCCACCCACGCCCCACCCCTGCCCTACTCTGTCCTATATTTCTGCATTTTATAGCTCTTCTGATTCGTGCAGCACAGCGGATTGCCGTGCCTCAGTGGTTTTTCTCACCGGGGCTGCAGCAGAAGTTAAGTTTTAGAGCTGATATTGGGCGGTTTTCCAACGCTGTGCGCGTACGAAGCACACACTCACCAAACAGGTTGTTCTCCTGGTTGAATTCCATCACTGCACCCTAATCCATTTTTCTTGCTCTTTTTGCACTCTTTCCAGAGTCTCAACATCTTTTATATATATATATATCACGGTGACCAACACTGGATGCCATATTGAAAGCGTGCTCTTACCAAGGCCTTATAAAGTGGTCCCTGACCCTTCACGGGATCTTCACAACTTCCAGGTCTTCCCAGTCAAGAATCTTTTAAGTCGGAGGTCTCCAAACTTGGCAACTTTAACCCTTGTGGACTTCAACTCCCAGAATTCTCCAGCCAGCTATGGGGGGACCCCTGCTTCAAGTGGTCTCCTCTCCAAGACCTAACAAACGAGGCAGGGTTGTTGGTTCCTCCATCATTTTTTTTTTCTTCAATTAAATACGGTCTGCTAGTAAAAAAAATAAATAAATCCAAATCCATGTTTGAGGAAAGGAGGCGCATCAGATTGCTGGAACATTCTGCCGGTGGAACATTCCAGAACTGTGAGACTTGAGCCGCCATTGGCAGAGGCTAAGCCTAGAAGAGACCACCTCCAGGAATATTTAGGGATTCCCCTGCCACCTAGACTGCCTCATATCTGTCCAGCAGCCAGTTTCACTGCATCACGAGCTGATGTCACAAAGCTTCTTCATTCAAGGCCCATCCTCTCCAAGACAAACCTTCTGGGGTCTTGAGGGCCCAGTTCCTGTACTCGATGCCCACCCATGTCGGTGGTGAAATCTATTGAGCTGCTGATACCCAAGGAAGTGTACTTGGCGGGCTCAACCGTGGAAGGGCAGCTGATTCTCAGCCTCCACAGCACGCTGGTGGACCCTCTGCTCAAGGTCGAACTCATTGGGAGAGGCTACCTGGAGTGGACCGAAGAGGCTCACTTGGACAAGGACTACAGCCAGCGAGCCACCTGCGTCAACAAGGCGGACTACGTTCACAAGACCAAAACATTCAAGATTGAACGTGAGGCTGCTTAAAACTGGGATTGCCACAAGGCAGTTAAGCAGAAAGCGGGCTGGAGTGGGGGTCTTTCCCTGTGGGGGGGAGGTGTGGCGTTGTTGTGTGGACAGACTTATCATGTTTTTTTAACAAACCACAGCATTTTCCACCAAGGCTTCCAGATTTCATCTGCAAACATGAACGGTGGCCAGTAGGTGGCAGCAAAGAGTTGGAACATCTCTTTTTCCCCATCTAGTGGGGATTGGCAGATCTGTCAGCCTGACACAGATAACAGATAATCAGAGGGGGAAGGGACCTTGTAGGTCATCTAATCCAACCCCACCTGCCAAGCAGGAGACCCTACACCATTTCTGACAGATGGCAGTCCAATCTCTTCTTGAAAGTCTCAAGTGATGGCGCTCCCACGACTTCCGAGGGCAACTTCTGTTCCATGAGTTGATTGTTCTCCCTGTCAGAAAGTTTCTCCTTATTTCCAGGTTGAATCTCTCCTTGTTCAGTTTCCATCCATTATTCCTTGTCTGGTCTTCGGGTGCCTTAGAAAATAGCTTGACCCCTTCCTCCTCTCTGTGGCAGCCCCTCAAATACTGGAAGACCGCTATCCTGTCTCCCCTGGTCCTTCTCTTCCCTAGACTAGCCAAGCCCAGTTCCTGCAACCGTTCATCGTATGTTTTAGCCTCCAGTGTCCCCTCATCATCCTGGTTGCTCTTCTCTGCACTTTTTCTAGAGTCTCAACATCTTTTTTATAGTGTGGTGGATGCAGGACTCTATGCTTTATAGCAAGACCACACCTAGAGTAATGCATCCAGCTTGGTGGACTCGGCTCCCAGGATTCTCACCAATGGTCCTCTTAGCTGATGACTTCTGGGAGTTGAAGTCCACGGGGATGCTGCAACCATCGACAGGATAAACAATGGTCATTGGTCACTTTTTTTCAGGGCCTTCGTAACTTTGAACATTCGTTAAACGGTTGTAAGTCAAGGATTGCCTGCACACAAGACTCCGTTATACAGGTAGTTCTTGACTTAATGACCACAACTGAGCCCCGACATTGCTGCTGCTAAGTGAAACTGTTTGTTCAGTGAGTTTTCCCTCATTTTACCACCGTCGCTAAGCGAATCAGTGCAGCGGTTCACTTAAACCTCACGGTTGTTCGGTGAATTTGTATTTTCCTGCTGATATTGCCAGCCGGAAGGTCGCCAAAAAAGGGGAATTCCTGGGATGCTGCGACCG